TTTTTTATTAAAACCTTTATCACTCTCAAGATATATGTTGGATTGAAATTCTCGTTGATGAACTGTGTTGGAGCAATGGTGCTTCATATATAAAAGTCATCAATGCAGAACCTACATTCGAATTTGAACTCTAACGGATAGTTTTCCTAAAAAACTGTTCTTTTATAGAGATTTATGTAGAGGTTCACGAATGTTACTTAAATTTATATATCGACTATTGTATTTTCTAGAGTATCACTGTTAGAAGGCCATTTATCAACAAGAATTTAGATCTAACATCTCTCTTGAGAGTAGTCGAGGTTTTAATTAAAACAAATTCCACAATCCGACGTTGAACCGGCCCAACTTGAGCACCCGAGACTGAACTAGGCGGATCTAATATTGAAGTGAATCGAACATCGAATGTCGACACACAAATGTATCACTTATAGATTTTTTTCGTTATGATGTAGGTGCTTGATTTCTTACAAAATGCTCTAGTACAATCCTATTTGTTTTTCCTCATGCTATTTCTTTTACATAAGATTTGTATTGGTTTCTCGAGACTTCTCTTCTGTCTGACACTTTTTAGTACGCTCTTCTCCGCATTTTCTTATATACTTCTGCTGATGATCTGTCATTGAAAGTTTACATTGAATTAAAAAACTGAACTATAGCAACGCGTCGAAATTAAAAAAACTGACTTTGCGATTGTGTGAGCTTCTTCAAAGAACATACTTTTTAACATATTTTAGGCATAGCTATTAGATTGAAGTTTTGTAAAACATCTCTATCAGCAAAGGATATACCTTTCGATAAGCAAAGAAAACAAGAACACCCACGGAAAACAACGAAAGTTCTATTGATACAACAACTGTGCCATTAACTTTTTTATTTAGATATTCAGGTCATTTTACTTAACAAAAATTATATATTTACTTATCGATGTACCATATATTATTAAGCAAATTAAACTATTTTACTTAGAATTTAAATAAAAAACTTAACAAAAATACTTTTTTTACTTAGAATTCTTTTCAATAAATTATCTAGCAAAAATTTAATTTTTTACTTAGCTTTTATTTAAAATTACTTAGCACTTAAATAGTAGCCAAAAATATAAAATATCATGTTTTCATAACGTATCCAGGGCAAGTTATTTAACTTTCAAGATACGTTAAACTTAGAAATCAAAACGAATCAGGAAAGGTATTCTCCTCTATTTGTAACAACAAAGCATAGTGTCGTTCAGGCTAACTACATGTTCAGACGACCTTCTTTCATATGGTTCAAACAACACTATTTTTGCTCATACAATAGTGGGGAATACTTTTCGCAATTCATTTTCATCCCTAAAATTCAAATACCTGGAAATTTAAATCATTGGCTCTAGGTACACTATAGGAACAAAATATTTTAGATTTGTTAGTTTGATGGTAAGAGCTTTCATTTGATCGGATTATAGTCAATCTCCTTAACTTACAGTACATCATCTTTCATTGCCAGTCACTAAAAGTATCAACAAATACTATCTCGAAATATTTTACATATTCTTTAGAACCCAATAGAAATGCCTAGCATTTCTCATAATATAAATGAAGGCTCCGTAAAAATCATGCTTCACAAAAGCAGGATATCTTTGTTTGTTTGTAATGTTGACATTAATTTTTCTAGACTGGTGTTCTAACTGCGGAAGTCGTCGCGCCTCACTATTTCAAAGATATCATTGCACTATTTTTTGGTAGTATGGCATTTAGTTATGCTGTCGAACTGGTCAATCTTCATCGACGTATTGCTCTATTCGTATTGAGTCGAATTGGCATGGCAACTAAATGGTATAAGATAACTTGATCAGCTCGATCATGCAACAATAATACTATTGAATGCAAGAGGCAATCAATCAGTTCTGTACAGCAACTCTTTTCTCTAAATTGATCCTATCCTTATTTGGAAAATACAAAATTATGTCTAGTGGATTTCTTATACTTAAAATTTTTAAGTTTACCTAATTCTTATGTATTGAATTCTTATAATGAATAATTAGGATTATGGCTGGTATGATGGTAGTAACAGCGTTTCTTTCAATGTGGATGAACAATATTGCATCAACATCAATTATGTTGCCTGTAGTATTAGCCCTTGTCGATGAACTCGAGATTTACAGCGAAAACTCTCGCAATCGACAACAAGGCAACATACAGAGAGCATCTTTTATAAATGGTATCATATTACTCAATAGTTAGTTATAGTTTCCTATGCACAAAACTGTATTTAGTTGCATTCGATTCCACAAATATGGAAGAGTCTGACGAAAATAAAATCGGCGAGATCTCTCATACTATTCAAAAAACTGAGCAATCGTAAATATGCGAGATTTGACATTTGCATAATCTGTGGCTTTCTTTTCCTACTTTAGAAAACTAGAAACGCCCGTAGTAGTACATAATCGCTTGAAATTATTATGCTGTAAACGGCAACAAATTGAACTTAGCAATACATACAAGAAAAACTATGATCAATTGAAGAAAGGTGACCTTCTTTCCTATTCGTGGTCTAGAATTGGCTCTACTTTTATGTATATGTTTATATGTAGGATTCCTTCTTGCCGTAGCCTATTCTTCGTCTATCGGTGGGCTATCTAGTTTAGTTGGCACGTCACCCAATATTTATCTCAAAGGTTTTGTTGACAGGTAAATTGAAAAAATAGAAATATTAACTGAACATATATCATATGCAACATAGTAAATACGGTCGTACTAACTTTCGCATAAATTTTCTCAATTTTCTACTCTTTTCTCTACCGGCTGGAATAATAATGCTTATATTCTGTTGGGTATGGTTACAACTGTGCTATAATAAGACAGAGTACGTATGCACAATTTGTAATATTACATATTTTGTACTAAAAAAAGAGAACGTTGACTTATTTAATTATTTCAAGACTCTTTCAATGTCGACCATCGGATGAAGCTCGTGAAACTCAAGATAATTTGAAAGTAATGCTAACAAAACAATATAGAGATCTTGGACGACCTAAGTGAATAATTCGAAAAAAACGAAAGAATTTCTATGTACATGATTCTACTCTACTTTTTAGATGGAGTGAACTCACCGTAACTGTCATATTTGTTCTTATGATATTTCTATGGACAACAAGAGAATTTTCCGATACAATAGGATGGGGCGTGATATTTCAACGCAAGTATTTATATAGTTCTTTTCTTTCTGCCTCAAACATTGAATTTAAGAAGAACATGTTTTCTTTTCTAGATATGTCAGTGATAGTACTGTAGCTATTCTCTGCGGAATACTTCCATTAATTTTACCAGACAGTAATCCATTTAATCGTAGGATATTTCTGTAATTAGAGACTAAAATATATTTATGTTAGTGAATATTTTCCTTCATAAGGACAACGTGACTGGAGGTATCAGCCAATAATGAAATGGGATAGTTTAGTGCAGCATGTTTCATGGGGATCAATAATTCTACTTGGTGCTGGACTTGCAATAGCCACTGCTTTCGAAGTACGTTGAAATGAATACATTCGTATAATACACAAATATCATTGAAATTTTAAGCAATCAAAATTATCGAAAAGTGTGGCACAAGCTCTGAATTTTGTATCTGATGTACCACGAGCTGCAGCTATTATGATCATTATTGTTATTAGTGGTCTGTTTACCGAAGTAGCATCGAATCTAAGTACGGCAACCATCTTTTTTCCCGTGCTTGACTCTGTGGTAAGGAACAAAATAACTTTTGTCTGTCAAATATATGGATATCTTGAAATAAAAATAGATTTACTATCAAAAAGTTTGCATATGAGCATAAATTTCTTTTTCAAATACATAAAAATTAGCTTTTTGGGATCTAGATGACAAAATTAATGTTAAATCGTTTCTATTTGCATAAAATATTCAAATGATAGGCAACTTCATCTGGTATACATCCAGCATTTCTTCTTTTACCATGCACATTAGCTGTCTCTTTAGCTTTTATGTTGCCCATATGTAAGTATTGACATTAAACATTACATAATAGCACTGAACTTTTCTTTCATACAGCTACGGCGCCAAATGCCATCGTTTTTGCCAGTGGTGCCATTCGAGTAGTCGATATGGTGAGTTTAACAACGTTTTCACCCACCTATCAAAATCAATTGAAAAAGTTCTAGATTAAAACAGGTATAGGAATGAATTTCGTCGGATTCTTAGTTATCTTTTTGGCTGCCAATACATGGATGCCAAAAATATTCGACCTAAACGATCAAACTGTGGCATATTTCTTCAACGTGAGCTTGACCGCTCATTCCCGCACTCCCAATATCTAGTTTTTTTTTCCAATGAAACAGACTACATACATACTACGTATTAATCTACGTTACATGTTCAATGATATAACGCAAAAAAAACTATGCTCTGATCTGTCTTGATATATTAGAAAAAAGAACGAAGACTTCATCAGGCAATATGTAGTAATAGTAGAAATGGGCATTGGAGTATGTATTTGTGTGTGTGTGTGTACGTGAAGAAAATAAAACAAACACGTCCACAGTTCCAAGAAGTCAAATTGTTTGATGGACAAAAACAATCGTACAAAGTCCGTTTGATTCCATATCTCCATACAATCTAACAGGGTTAACAAGACTGCTTGATCAAGCCGAATATGATGATAGACACGATCGATGTGACCTTGACAAATTAATTCGTAATTAATTGAGCAATACACACAATCTGATGAAAGATTATCGATCTAGTCTTCAGAAATAATCAATAATAGTAGGGTGTGGGTGTGGGTGTGTGGGTAGGTGAAAAGTGAATGCCAGTAAACTCACACCCACACTCACACCCACACCCACACCCACACCCACACCCACCCTCACCCACACCCACACCCACACCCACCCACACCCACACCCACGCCACACACCCACACACACCCACACCCACACCCTAAAATGCTTGCCGGATGAAGGTCACTGTAAACGTGGGAGATTTCTGGTGAAACTACCCTATACTATAAGATTTTCACTAAAACGTGCTCGATTTTAAACAGAAATCGTTCAAAATGAACTTAGATTGTTCACTGACGAGGTCCAAACAGGCCACAAGGGCTGTCGGCGTGCCCGTCACAGACAGGTCAGGTCGATTCTTAGAACAGACCAGACAGGTCACGCCAAGAAAATCAAAGGACAGGCACAGGCATGCCATGCCTTCAAAAAGTGGGCCTGTTTGGACCTCTTGGTCACTGTAATGACACTTTTCCATTACTAATGCTTTGACAGTGTAAGTGTTTACCTTACATTCAATACGTTATGAAAAGTATAAGTATGTTTAGAGAAAAATAAAGAAATACAGAAAAACATTAATATTTGAGGAAAACAATTATATTTTTGTTATAAAACATTTTTACTGAAATCTAAGAGATAAAAATGTCAATGATATTATTATACGTAGGAGAGAAATCATGTGTAGTAACTAAGAAACCTTTTATAGTAGACTATGATTCAACTTCAGCTGATATAATCAGGATTCAAAGTCGATGCGATATCACGAATGACAAATATTGAATGATCAGATCGATAATTGATGAGATCAAACTATTGTTCATGAAACATAATACTGAGTCTTTTTCGCTGATATTTTGCAGACTTGGATAAGAAATAATACAGTTTAAATAACATTAATACAATTATTTTATTGTTGTCAAAGTGGAGCTTCAATGGTTTCTCTATAAACTATTTTGTGCCCAAGTGTAATCATGCAATCATAGAACTCTTTATCACCATTGAAAATTATATTTTTAATGCGATTCATTTTGCCAATTAAATCTTGTGCAAGGAGACAAATGGTTTTTTTTTCGACAAATATATGAACGTATTCACACAAATGCAGTTAATATTTAAATTGTCCTTCATAAAATGATTCTGATTATTGTAGTAGATGTTTTTTTTTTCATTCAACTCAAAGAAATGCTACTCAAGAATATTTTAAATTATCATATCATAGAAACAATATCCTTCGGGTCATTTCCAGTGATCAAAATTTGTTTATTCGATATTTTCAGAGCATTATTTTGTAGTATACAAAAATTTCAATCAACAGGTACGCAAACTCATATAGATTTCAACTGGTCGAAGTACAGTAAAAAAAATACTCTAGAACTAGTTCTATCAGCAATCACTTTTAAAAGTGTCATCTGACGGTTTTTCAAACATAAAAAAATCTTTGGCAGGGATCAATCTCATTATTAATCGATTCGTTGATTTATTGCATTTAAACACACAATTGTTGTTTCGATAAATCACAATTAATACAATTTTGCGAGGATATGGATATTTCTAGAAAGACATTTTTAACAAATTGATGGACGCCAGGGATATTTACGGCATCGTTGTCACGTCGCCACTGTAACGGCAGCCTCATAGTATATATTTTATTAAAATACTGTGGCTATAACTTGTTACAGAGCTAATTGCAGTTGGGCAGTGGTGCGATAGAATTGATTTTCAACCATGTTAGGATAACGAAAGACTTTCAGCGGCAACAAAATTCTTTCATTGATATTGATGTCGATTAATTCGTCAAAATCAAATCAATATTTTCATAGATCTTTTTATTTTACCTAGAAACTCATCCATTCTTGTTTACTATTTCACAGAATATACAAGAAATTTCATCTTTGAAGTTACTCTTGTTACAGTCCGTATCTGTAGAAGAGGAAGGTGTATACATTCCGGATTCCTATAATGAAGTTCTTCCCATTTCGCAATTTTTAAAAATATTCAAAAAAAATTTTACCTGGATAAAGTGTGATACATGATACACTATGACATAGTCTATCGAATTGTTTGAGAAATAAATAAAGTGGCGAATTCAAATAAACTTTAATTTGTTGAAGGTCTGAATAATTATATGCATATGAATGATTACTTAATGAAAAGAAAAACAATAGATACAAAAGTTTTCAAAAATAAAATATTTTACCTTAAAATATCATAGTATTGAAATCGTTTGAAATCCGAAGCAAAGAAAATATGTTGATATGATTCGTCTTCGTCATAAACACATTTAACATTTGTCCATTGATCTAAAATAAAAAAAGAATCAGTTTTAAAAGAATTTATTATTTTAGAAATATCATTTTTTAATAATGATGCACCTTGTATACCAATATCAATATGAAAGTGTTTTAAATTAATTATATGATCAGGTAAACAATATTGTCGAATGAAATTTGCATCAACAACAGATTTCCATATTGGTTGATTTTTTATTCATTCATCATAAAGATATAACTCAATTTTAAGCTTTATAATATAATTAACATTGTTCAAAAGCCATTTTAAATAAGCGATTTGTAAATCATTTCTAATGGAACATTTCAATTTAAAACATTTCAATTTTGGAACCTATTTAATAAAAAAAAATTAGTCATAACTTTCTTTTAAAATCAAAAAGAAACTGCAAATAATCTATTTCAAGTTGATCTTTTTATTCTTAGTAAATAATTGAAATTGTCATTATACCCAATTTTTTTTCTGATCATATTAATGAAGTTTTTCCTAGTAATGAATTTTATCATGGTTTTTTATCGCTTGCGTTTTGACTTCCGTTAGCTCATCGATAGAAATAGAATTTTTCCAATTTAATAAAGAAAGAAGCGTGATTCTACTAAATAGATAATAAGTGTCTTTTCATAAAAATCCTTTTACGAAGAATCATACAGAAGATCTTTCGTTTTATTCAAGGATTTGATTGTGTCGGATGATTCGATATTCGTGTTGCACATGTTTATGTCGCATTCATGACGAAATCGAGATGTCATCTAGTTTCATTTATTTTCTCAGTTTAAACATCTTTTGTATCTATTTTCTTTTGCGATTATCTCAAGAACCAAAACTCAGCAAATAATCGTTGAAATGAGAAGCCAAAAACTGAAGATTGAGTCGATACTTTCTATTAAAACATTGTCTGTTAAATGTTTCCTTTCTTCAAGAATAGATTCTGAAAATGGCAAATTTAAAAAAAAAACATTTTTTTAAAACATTTTCAGATAATTGAAATAAAAACAAAGACATGTGAGATATCAGACTCTTTTCTCATATGTCGAGCATATGTGAATATATGCTGATAATAGATAAGGAATGATAATTCAAATAATTCAATGATCAATCAAAAGCGATTTTGCCGATACGCATTGATAAAGTTTTCATAGTAATGAATTTTATTGTAAAAGTATTTTTTAACAAAAAAGCAAGAAAATTTAGTCGCCACTCCTCCAAATTATGTCACAAACATTTGTTAATTCAGTTGGCGATAGATAATGAATCGAATTCATAATTAAATAATGAATTAAAATCACTCGTCAGTAAATCTATCGATATGCTTTATTCTCGTTATGATCTATTCCATTATGACTACTTTTGATGTTAACTCTAAGTCAGATCAACTGATGGATAGACCGTCAATTTTTGGATTTCGTTTCATTTAGAAACGAAAAAATAAGTTCGATTCCAGTAAAAGATGATTATTGGTAGGAAAAAGCTTCCGATACACTACAAAAACGATCTTTTTCAGTCAGAAATCTTTTTTTTTTGAAATTGAGCGAAACTCGTATACGATTTAGTTTGTATCTGCGCTGTTTGATATTCATAAACGAAATTATTCTTTCTTTGAAATATATGATAGACTAGTAGAAGAACTCTTTATTGATTATGAGGAAATAATGTTCATCACTGATTTTTCAGCATCATCGTTTTGTTATACTGTGTTGAGGCTCGAGTCTTAGTTCAATTAGAAATCTTTTCTGTTAAATAGCATATACGCACGATATAATATTTAACTAAGAAGTTTTTTTCTTCTTTAATCAGATCAACAACTGAAATAATATTAGATTGATCTTACTTTATTACACCAATGTTCATTTGATAATATCGAATTATAAATATTGGTATCAGAGTATTTAGAATAACGTTCAAACTGTTGACAATGAACTGATAATTCTTCGAGATTGGGTGCATGCTCAATTAGATCTTCAAGAAAGAATGTATAGTCAAGATAAATCTGCAAACAACGCAGAGTTATGCAATACGATTGAAATTCATTTGAAGTTGTGTTTATAGATGGATAAGAATATAACTTTAAACATTGATGAATTGATTTAAATGCTTTCCTAATATCAAGTGTACCCAGGCAGACAATAAACGGCCAGAAAGGCGTTTAAACGCGTTAAAAAAGCGTTTACACCGTTTTAACTGGTTTAAACGCGTTTACTACTGATTTTTTCACTTTTAAATCGTTTTTACAGTTTATTTTCAACTAAATTCGACAAAACCATTAAAAACGCCCCAATTTCGTGTTTTTTTCGAAAAAAAAACGTTTTAACAGTATTTTTCCGTTTTGCTTCGATTACCAAAAAAACAATCAAAACTACAAAAATTTTATTATTATGCTGACAGTAAATCATGTGCATCGTTACTAACTAGTTGTTAGTAGGTGATAGTCTGCGCTACTAATCTGTTACTAATGAGTAGTAAATTTTTAATTTAACTATTCTGTAATAGTTATACCTGTTTGAATGTATCTAAATCATGTAACACAACATAGTGAGTAATCAGTCTGGTTACTTTCTAGTAAGTAATAAGTTTTAAAATTCGTTGTTTATAAGTAACAGGCAACTGATGGTTAGAATACGTATCTTTTCCTAATAAACAGCAAAGAATCAGATCCGATATTTATTATTAGCAAACAGAAATTTTAAATCAAGAAAATTTTTTTATTGTCATTAAGTCGAAGTCAAAATTGATAGTAGTATAACGATCTTACTGAAAATACTTCGCGTAGTGAGTTTACATAGTCTATATTGATGTATTGTCAGTGTATCTACTCAGCAATATTCCACTGTCAATTGAAAACCGTTAAGACAAATATTGTTCGGTGTTAATATCTGATGAGAATGTAACAAGGCTTATCTTTGATTTGCCGCAGAGTAACTGCCATAAACTGATTTGCTTAACAGAAATAGGCGTGCAGCACATCTCATGCTGAATATCTTTAACAATCAGCGTGTAGACAATTAACATTATAGTGATTTGTTCAATGAATATTATAACATCATCTTAACCAATATTGGTTTATTTTACTGCACATTTAAGAAGATTAATTCTAGCTCAGTTGTATTTTGTGAATTATAATAAGTGCAGACAAATATTGTTAATGCTCAGAAACTAAATGGAAGGGGGAAATCATCATTAATGTTATTACATGTTAGTATATCATACTAACAACATAAACGATTCCTTCCTTCTTAGATTATATGATAATCATAATCTTCTCTATTTCTCTTTTAAAAGTGCAAGTACGTATGGGCAACAATCATGTTTAACCAAGATAAACAAGTTATCCTGTTCTCATATAGGTTATAATTAAAAAATGACATAGAGATTAGCTGTTTCAATAAAAGTTTCAAAACTTGACTATTGTATATTTCATCTAGTTATCATCGTCACATAGAAACAGAGTTATCATCAGTCCACATTTGCAAGAAATTTTTTCCATTCTGTCTTTTCTTTCCGTCCGTTCAGTTCACAGAAAAAGGAAAAAAGAGGTCATTCTTTTATCACTCTCTCGTCCGATTATTCGTCTGTTCTTTTCATTTGGAATTCATTTGTGTTCTGTTTCGTTCACATAGTTGCCTAACTGAGTAGGCCATTTTTTTTCTAACGTATACTTAAAATTAATGGTAAATTCACTATATGTAATGGCACATACTTCTTTTGTGTAAAACTGGATATGTTCGAATTAGATAAGTTCTTTTCTGCGGAAATCACTCAGAACGAGAGAAAGAATAGGACACTTACTGCATGGCTATTAATAGTGAGTTTCTGAGAAAAATACTTCAATATTCACTAGGTTAGTGTTGATTTAGACATAACATGTACGATACTTTTGACACTACAACTAGCAGAGTCGCTCGCAGACGATAAACATAGCAGGGTCCATTAAATATTCCTCACTTGAAATGTTTCATATATAATGTTCATCACGAGTACGTGTGACATATGAGACGTTTGAAACAGTTGGGTTTTCCACTCGGTGAAAAGGGAATCTTAAGTCATCGAAATATGAATGAGCTTTAAAAGAAATATCGTCGCTACAGGAAAAAGCAGATAGCATTCTGATGCATAGGTGTGCCTTAATCAATTTCGCGACCAACTTAATACACACTCATTATGAGATTTCGTAGTGCGTTGATGACATTTCTAGTTATATCATATCTCCGTACTTTGATATTTTAGAGTTTGATCGAAATGAAGTTAAATTTATTAATGATACTTGAAAAGAACATCTGTCTACCATAGTAGTTCCGATTGTAGTTTTCCTTATATTAGAAGCTGGTTAGATAGTCCGTGCTTTGCCTTTTTATCAATTCCTGTGTTAGTCGTACTATTTTAAATCTATTCATCAGTCTATCTTATCCGTCACTTATTTGAAACATGAATGGAAATAATTCAGTTTTCTTCTCGTTGATAAACTGACCGATTATATTCAGATTATCATTAGATTAATGTTAAATTGACATATGTTTATTGTTTATACTTTGAAAGCAGTGCAGAGAATTAAATCTCTCATCAGTTCGTTTCGTTTTATGTTAAGAGTAAGTTTACATTTTGCCATTTACTTGTTGGTATTTTTTTCTTTTTGTTTTTTATCTAATAGTGGAATGGTATGACAAGGTGTTAATGCTGTTCTATTAAACCTACATTTTTTATCTTTCTTTCCACTATTGAAAAAAAACAAAAAGAAAAAAATATCAATAAGTAAATAGTAAAATATACACTTATTCTTAACATAAAAAGAAACGAACTGATGAGAGATAAATTCTCTGCACTGTTTTCAAAGTATAAACTATAAACATATGTCAATTTAACATTAATCTAATGATAATTTGAATATAATCGATCAGTTTATCAATGAGAAGAAAATTTAGTTATAAATTATTGATACTTCATCGTTTAGATGAAACGTTTGTTGATCATTAAGAGGCGTGACAAGGGAAATTATTTCAACTGTTTAAACAGTGTCATTAGTCGCCAAAAACGCGTTAAAACAGTTACAATTTCAATGACTCCAAGCGTTTAAACATGTAAAACGTGTTAAAAGTTAATTTTTCATAAACTGTT